AGGAGCAAGTTCAGCAGGATGGAACCACTGGGGCTTGATAGGACAGATCAAAATTTTCCCCAACTGAGGGTGGTGCTGGCTGAGCCCCAAGAAGGGGGCCAAACACAATCACTTCTGAAGGAGACACACTTCAAAAATCCCAGCTCTAAGAAGCCCTTCCTTCTCCCTGTGGAACTGAGCTCAACAGTGTGGGCTACTAGGACATGGGAAGACAGATCTTTTCTCCCTTTCTGAGATAGCTTGCACTGAGCTAGCAGAAGAGATAGGAGTGACCTCCCCCCACAATGTAGCCACACAACCCAGTAAATGCCCATTTGATCCTAGACAAAAGCCTCCCAGGGAGATGGTGCTCAGAAATTCCCAGCTCTGTGGGGCACCTTGATCCCCCTGAATGAATGAATTCAGCAGGGCAAGGACACAGAATTGTGGGGCATACCAAGTGATTCAACAGGTGGAAAGTGAGGATGGCACCAGCTTTGTGCTCAAGGTGGGGAAGAATGGTATAAAGGGACATTTTTAAAAATCATCTGAAAAACTTTACACAAACTAATTTATGTCAATGGAGATACAGAGTTACTGTTTGCCTTCCATGGACATATTAGATTTGTTTCATTTGAGAACCCTGTCCACTACAGAGTTTACTGTTTTCTCAAAAATTATGACTATGTATAATTAAAGAATGCAGTAAAATTATTTTTCAGGTTTTCCTACTTAGAATAGTCATTTCAACTTGATTCTATTGACTACTCAATTTAGGCAAAAATTTTATTTTTACTTTTTAATTAACTTATTTATTCTTATTTAATTTACTTATTAGGATACTTAATGTTTACAAAGTTTAACACACATGTCATAGCACATGGCATCATGCTAAGCACTTCACATAAACTGATTAATTTCCAAGGTTCAAACATAATTTTTCTAGGGTTCGAATATTGTTTTTAATTTTTATATATTTTATTGTGGTGACATTAGATTAATATGATTATATAGATTTCAGATGTACAATTATATAATACGTCATCAGTATATTGTATTGTGTGTTCACCACCCAAAATCAAGTCTCCTTTTGTTACCATATATCCTCCCTTGACACTCTTCTATCTCCTCTCACCCCCAAGTTTCCCTCTGGTAATCATCATACTGTTGTCTATGTGTATGAAGTTTTTTATTTTTATTTTTTTAGGCAAAAATTGATTTGGTCAAATAGCTGACTGATTGTAGTGCAACAACCAAGAAATTCAGGCAAGTTAGTCATTTTAATCAATCCACTATTTATCTTAGTTCTTATTAACTTGTTCAAACCTTCCTAAGCTGGTCAAGACAGTCAAAATGAATCAATGAGGTAGTTTGAATTCATCCATCCTAGGTTGGACTGTATAAACTAGTTAATGAACATAACAAATCTTCATCGGGGAGCAAAGGGCAAGCTTTGGCTGACATGGCTGACTGAATCAAGCACAGCAGTCACAATGGCTTGTCAAGTTTCATCCAGCCTTGGATAAATTAAGTCCATCTTTTAATTTGATTTATTTTGAATTATTTGACTGATCATTTTGGTTCAATTAACCAACCAATCTCATAGCTTCATAAAGACATATTTATAATGGGCTGCATTTATTTAAAGCTCTTAGAAATAAGGGACCATAGACATAGGTAGTGCATAAAGCAGTCTATGAACCTCTAAGATGGTCAAAGGAAATTATTACATGATTGAACCAAATGTGACACAAGTGTGACCTGGTTTCTTTATCTGCCCACATAGAAAAGACCCTGCTGAATAGAATTTACCCAGGAAAATGGTATTACACAGTAAAACTGCTTTGTTGGTCATCTCTCACTGCCAGTATAAAACCAAATATTCAAAGTAACATAATGGAAAAAATAATAAAAGAGAAAAATGGTTATAACTTCCTACCTGATCTCAAAAGATTTTATTCATAAGAAGATAATCCCATATCCTGTAGAAACATTAATTCAATTCATGTTCTACTCCTCTGAGGATTACAGTATAAATTCTTTACCCATTGCCTGGCTCCTGACCTGAATAAATTTCAAAGATCTTTTTCCCTCAAAGAAAAGCAAATTAAGATTTTTGCTTCTCCCTTAAGAGCTAACCATATCACTGTAGTCCAGAATGGTATCACAATGTATGCTGAATACCATAGATAGGCTGAAACACACACACACACACACACACACACACACACACACACACACACACCCCAAAACATCAGCTTTTTGTTCAAGGTTTTTGGTTTAGGTGAATAAAAGCTATTTGGAACATAATATCGACAAAAAGCAATCAGAGGCAGAGTGTGCAGATGCAGTTCTGCAGTTTTTCTATTTTGAGAATTCCTATGGTTAATGCTTAACCCCTGGCTGACATCTCCCTGCTATCCCACATTCTGCCCACCTGTATCTGAAAGTGAGAGTACACTATTTTTCAAACTGTGGATCAAAGCTTATTAGGGGTTGTGAAAATAAATTTAGTAGGAAAAGATCCACTTATTTTTCCCTTTTCTTTTTTTAGTGAAGCAGAATAGAGGAGAAAATATTAGAATAAATTGCCCACAGTAATGCTAGTATTATTTTATGAATTTTTGTGTCAGTTATGTGATCATAGCCTGTGTATGTGTGTATGGATATCTGTGTCATGTATGTGTTGTGTGTGTGTGTATGTGTGTGTGTGTGTGTGTACTTGGCCATATGTAATATACATATTTTTAATGAGCCCTGTGGTGGTAAAAGTTTGAAACACTGTTGTAATGGAAAATACATGAGTTTTACAGTCACACAAATCTGGATTCCAGAAGTATACCCAGGGCTGGAGGTGGAAGGAAGATTGATAGGAATGATCCTCCCAGGCAGGTAGAGAAATTATTTCTCTGACGTGTTTAGAATTACCATATCATGTTAATAATAGAAAAACTCCTAAAGTCAGTGTTATTACTGTTTTAAAATTCTTTACTGATGATGTACTTCCTTATTGTCTGAACCCAGAATATAGTACCTGAAACATGGTAGGTGCATAACAAATATTTTTCAGTAAATAAGCCTGAGATTTCTTTGGGCTCTTTTACTAGTCATATCATATAGGCTCATTTTGACTTCATGGTCAACACAGGCTTTCTATATTTTTTGTGCATGAATTTCTGAAAAGTCTTCTCTCAGTTTGCCTTTGTTCACTTGATTTTTGAGAAAACATAAGAATCATTATTAATTTGACTCTTGCCTACTTATTGTACCCTGTTCAATAATTTTAATCTTAATTCTGTCTTAACTTTCTTTCACAGCTTCATGAACTCTGGGGCAGAAAACAAAACAATAAGAAAAACAAAACAAAAGCAACCAATCATCAATAAAAATCACACTAAAATAATGACAACAAAATGCCTTTTATATCTTTATCTAAACATGACTCAGAACTAATTTAAACCAAATAAAATAAAAGAATGTGCTGCAAAAATAATATGAATTATAAACCTAGTATTCAGTTATTTTGCATTTAGTTCACTAATTTTTAATTGATAATTCTGTTGGCTGTCTATAAAATGAATTCTCAAAGATTTATGATAGCTCCTTTTGCCCTATCTGGTTGTACCCCAAATGTACACTTTCAGTTATAAAGGGCATGCCATAGTCAGCACAGAGTTAGCTACACTACTAGGCACTATTGATGGGGATCCAAAGGGCAAAAATGTGGTCTGTGCATTGCAGAGTGAATCAGAAGGTGTCTGATTTAGAGAGATTTGCTGAGATTATTTCCAGAAATTTAAGAATAAGCTGATTTAGTGTGGTGAGCAAAATATAAGATATGTAAATGTCAAATCACCATGTTATTTGTTAAACCCCTGAAGCTAGGATAATAACTATGCTTTAATAATAATTAAATAAATACAATAACTCACCTCCCCCCAAAAGTAAACTGACTTTTTTAGGATTTTAATTTATTTTTGTTTTATTTTATTTTTATCCTCACCCAAGGATATGTTTACTGATTTTAGAGAGAGGGAGGGACAGAGAGAAATATCAATATGAGAAGGAAACATTGATCCTGATCCTGAGAGAGAAACACTGATTGGCCACCTCCCTAATGAGCCCCAAATGAGGATGGAACCCACAATATTTTGGTATATAGGACGACACTACAACCGACTGAGCAACCCAGCCGGGGCGAGTAAACAAATTATTTTTAATCTTTTTTATTGTTTAAAGTATTACATATGTCTTCATTTTCCCTGATTGACCCCCCCAACCACTCCCACCCCCGAGGGCAAGCCCCCACTGCCCCAGTGTCTGTGACCATTGATCATGCTAATATGCATGCATACAAGTCCTTTGGTTGAACTCTAACCCCCCTCCCCTGCCATTTGTCTCTGGATCTATTTTTGTTCATCAGTTTATATTGATAATTATATTCCACATATGAGTGAAATCATGTGGTATTTATCTTACTCCCACTGGCTTATTGCGCTTATCATAATGCTCTCCAGTTCCATCCATGCTGTTGCAAATGGTAAAATTTCCTTATTTTTTATTATAGTGTAGTATTCCATTGGTATAGACGTACCACGGTTTTTTAATCCACTCATCTGCTGATGGGCACTTAGGCTGTTTCGAAATATTAGCTATTCTAAATTGTGCTGCTATAAACATAGGGGTGCATATATCCTTTCTGATTGGTGTTTCTTGTTTCTTGGGATATATTTTTAGAAGTGGTACTACTGGGTCAAATGGCAGTTCCATTTTTAAATTTTTGAGGAAACGCCATACTGTTTTCCACAATGACTGCACCAGTCTGTATTCCCACCAGCAGTGAAGAAGGGTTCCTTTTTCTCTGCATCCTCTCCAGCACTTGTCATTTGTTGATTTGTTGATGATAGCCTTTCTGACAGGTGTGAGATGGTATCTCATTGTTGTTTTGATTTGCATCTCTCAGATAATTAGTGACTTTGAGCATGTTTTCATATGTCTCTTGGCTTTCTGAATGCCCTCTTTCGAAAAGTATCTATTTAGGTCCTTTGTCCATTTTTTTCATTGGATCATTTATCTTCCTTTTGTTAAGTTGTATGAGTTCCCTGTAAATGTTAGAGATTAAACCCTTATCAGAGATAACATTGGCAAATATGTTCTCCCATGCAGTGGGCTTTCTTGTTGTTTTGTTGATGGTTTCTTTTGCTGTGCAGAAACTTTTTATTTTGATGTAGTCAAATTTGTTTATTTTCTCCTTAGTCTCTCTTGCCCTAGGATCTGTGTCTGTAAAGATGTTGCTATGACATATGTCTGCAATTTTGCTGCCTATGGAGTCTTGTAGGATTTTTATGGTTTCCCGTCTTACATTCAAGTCCTTTAGCCATTTTGAGTTTGTTTTTGTGTATGGTGTAAGTTGGTGATCTAGTTTCATTTTTTTTTGCATGTATCTGACCAAATTTCCCAGCACCATTTATTAAAGAGACTGTTTTGACTCCATTGTATGTTCTTGCCTTCTTTGCCAAATATTAATTTAGTATAATGACATTGATCAACATGAACATATAGGTTTTAGGTGTGGGTTTCTATGTTACAAGATCTGTATATTGTACCTTGTGCTCACCACCCAAATTCAAATCTCCTGTCACTTTATATTGAGACCCATCCCTTTTCCTCTTGCAATCCCTTTTCCTCTTGCAATCACCACACTGCTCCCCTCATCCCTTTTCCTCTTGCAATCACCACACTGCTGTTTGTGTTTATGAGTTTCAGTTTTATATCCCACATATGAGTGAAATCATATAGTTCTTCGCTTTTTCTGACTGACATATTTCACTTAGCATAATGTTCTCAAGGTCTATCCATGTTGTTGCAAATGGTGCTATTTCATCCTTTCTTATGACTGAGTAGTATTACATTGTGTATATGTGCCACATCTTCTTTATCCAGTCCTCTATTGCAGGGCACTTTGGTTGTCTCCATGTCTTGGCCACCATGAATAGTGCTGCAATGAACATAGGGGTGCATATATCTTTGTGAATACATGATTTTGAGTTTTTCAGGTATATGCCGAGGAGAGGGGTTGCTGGGTCCTTTGGTATTTTAATTTTTTGAGGAATTACCAAACTGCTTTCCATAGTGGTTATACCATTCAACCTTCCCACCATCAGTAAATAAGGGTTTCCTTTTTGTCTGCAACCTCTCTAACACTTGTTATTGCTTGTCTTTTTGATAATGGCCACTCTAAGAGATGTAAAGTGGTATCTCATTGTAGTTTTGCATTTCCTTAATTGCTAGTGAGGTTAAACATATTCTCATATATCTATTGGCTGTTCCCATGTCTTCTTGGGAGAGGTGTATTTTTATGTCCTCTGCCCACTTTTTGATTGGGTTGTTTGTTTCTTTGGTGGTGAGTTTTATAAGTTTTGTTTTTTTTTAATTATTTTGTTAAATATATTTATTGATTTCAGAAGAAGGGAAAGGGAGAGAGAGAGAGATAGAAACATCAATGATGAGAGAGAATCATTATTTGGCTGCTTCCTATATGCCTCACACTGGGGACTGAGCCCAAAACCCGGGGATATGCCCTGACTGGGAATTGAACCATGACTTCCTGATTCATAAGTCAATACTCAACCACTGAGCCATGCCAGCTGGGCTAATGAGTTCTTTATATATTTTTGAAATTAAACCTTTGTTGGAGCTACAGTTTGCAAATATCATCTCTCATCTGGTTGGCTACCTTATTGTTTTGTTGTCAGTTTATTTTCCTGTGCAAAATCTTTTTAGTTTGATATAGTCCCATTCATTTATTTTTAACTTTTCTTCCCTTGCCTTTGGGCTCAAATTCATAAAATGTTCTGTATGACCAAGATCTATAAGTTTGGTACCTATATTTTATCCTATGTAACTTATTGTTTAGGGTCTTATATTTAAGTCTTTGATCCATTTTGAATTAATTTTTGTACATGGGGACAAACTGTAACCCAGTTTCATTCATTTGCATGTGGCTTTCCAGTTTTTCCAGCACCATTTTTTGAAGAGATTATCTTTATTTCATTGTTTGTTTCTGTCTCCTTTGTTGAAAATTATGTGTCCATATACATGTGGCTTTAGAGATGGGTTCTCTATTTTGTTCGTTGATCTGTGTGTCTTTTTCTGGCAATACCATTCTGTTTTGGTTATCGTAGCTCTGTAGTATAATTTGAAGTCAGGTAGCATTATACCTCCAGCTTCATTCTTTTTTTCTCAGAATTGCTTTGGCTATTCTATGTCTTTTGTGGTTCCATACAAATCTGATGATTTCTCATTCTATTTCCTTAAAAAATGACATTGTGATTTTGATGGAGATTGCATTATTCTGTATATTTCTTTGGGTAATATGGCCATTAAACTATGTTGGTTTTTTCAATCCATGAACATGAGATATTTTTCCATTTTGTTGTGTTTTTTCTTTTAATAATGCTTTGTAATTTTCTGTAATAGGTCTTTCACGTTCTTTGTTAAGTTTATTCCTAGGTATTTTATTCTCTTGGTTAAAATTGCAAAAGGAATTATTATTTTTATTTCTTTTTCTGAAGCTTTGTGATTAGTATACAGGAAGGCAATGGATTTTTAAAAATTCTTTATTGTTGAAAGTATTACATATGTCCCCTTTTTCCCTCATTGATTTTTGCACATTGATTTTGTATCCTGCAACTTTACTGTATTTGCTTATTGTTTCTAATAGTTTTTTGGTGGAGTCTTTTGGATTTTCTATACACAGAATCATGTCATCCACAAAAAGTGACAGTTTGACTTCTTCCTTCTCTATTTGTACATCTTTTCTTTCTTTCTCTTGCCTTATTGCTCTGGCTAGGGCTTCCAGAACTATCTATTTATATAAAAACCCTGAGTGTAACAACCATCATGACCGAGGCTCCACCATCTGGAAGGAAGTCAGTCCTGCAGGGGTCGCCTTGGCAATGGCTGCACCCTCCCCAAGCTGTTTCCCCCAAGGGCGAGGTTTAAGGCAGGAACTGGCCCTTGGAGTGTGGAGGCACTGAGTCCTGGGTCATCTTGGTAACGGCTGCACCCTCCCTGAGCTGTTTCCCATGAGGCCTGTGGGAAGAACCCACTCTCGGAGTGCCAGAAGCACTCAGCAGCAGTCAGTCCTGGATTGCTGAGACAGAGGCCATGGCCTGGTAGAACT